ACCCAGCGCTCGACAAAAATTATATTTTTTTCACCAGAAATTTAGCTCGGAAAATATACATATTTATATTCGTTTGAATCGTCGATGAAATGACCTTTTCAGGATAATTTTTCCTTCGGGGTCAACAAAAACCTCCCATTACAAAATCACGCCGAACTCACACGTTGCAAAAAGATCTCTTCAAAACCCTGACTTCGAAGCGATATATCACTTTAGCGTTAATAGCTACCACACATCGGCAGGCGGTAAATCTATTCCTCAACAAGTTTGACGTAGAATGATAAAAGACTTAAGTAAACAGTAAATGGAGAAAGGAAAAACATCTTGGAACATTTTTCAGAAGAGTTAGAAGTTGGGCTGTTATAATCCATTAAACCTGTAGTAAGCCATCTTAAGACCGGTCATGGGTGGATTCTTCCTACAGTCGATAATGACAGGAATGCGTTTTATTTTTCCGTTCGCTCTGTTCAGTGGCTTTATCTTAATATCAGGTGATGTTATCCTCAACCCTCTGCAAGATCACAAACAACCCTGACCCCACACTTTCCTAGTTTATGGCGATCTATGTTCGTCTCATTTTCAGTTGTTAAATTCTTACAATCTACAGCTAGCCTCACTAAAGTGATTTTGTTTTCGTTTTAGTTGACCGGAATTGGCATCGACCAAAAAAAAATTTTGTCTGACTGTCAAATCAGAGTACTCTTTACTTTGGCAACAAATAGAACTTCGTTTGCAGTAATGAAGAGTTCAGAAATTGGCTCTACGTTTTCGAAGCTATGGCCGAAATCTGCGTGCTCCAAATACTGTATGTGACAGGTTTTAAGTGTCTCTTAAAAACACTGGAAACTAGACAAGATGTATTGAAGCAATCCGCCGCAATCACGGAATTATTTTATTTTTCGGGTCTGAGTTTTCGAGACAACCAGAGGATCTGAGTTTTTCGAGTCTGAATCATTTTCGAGACATCCAGCGAGTCTGATTTTTTAGGGTCTGAGGTCTGAGCTTTCGAGAATCACGAATCGCTCGATGTTCGGGTCGCTAAGGTCTGTTAGCAGATTTGCCCATATTTGCTATCGCAAAGCCAATTTGGATATTAGCTGTTAGCTTCGGTAAGCGACATAAAGCTGGCCTCGAGGCCATTAACCCTCCTTTACGCAAGTGTCTGAGCTAGGGCTGTCAGCAAACAGAACTATGCAACCAGACTCCTTCAATATTTTGGGTTTCGTCTCTCTTGTGGACCCGCAGGCCTTAGTACACCAATTCCAGAAAAAAACCGGAAGTTGCACCGAAACGAGGCTTAATAGCCCTCGCGGTAGATAAAGCAACATGGCGAACGAAGAAGAAAGGCTAATCTCTCCTCCGATGATATTCCCGGCGTCAGTGTGAGCGAAGAGCATTGAAAAATTGACAGTCAGCCAATCGAAATTTTGGCTTAAAAGTCGCCGTATAAATCAAAGGGGCAAAATAAAGGAACTTTTCGACGGGTATGTTTTCCATCCTTCGATT